TTATGCTCCAGGAACATTTCATCTAAGGTGGCTCCAGCCTTAATTTGTGATCTGATTTGAGCTCCTTGAAGCTGGTTCAGGTCTGCGTGATCAGAAAAAGCAAACGTTAAAGTGTCTGTTAACTGTAAATGTTCCTGTAAAGAGCATATTTTGGAGCCCAGTCACTCAGAGTGCACTCAGGAGCCACTTCTTCTGCATAATTACAGAGTTCTGGACGTGGAAACACCCACCGAACGACATCAACTTCAACTCAAGTCTCTCAATCGGTGAAAAAGGTTAAAAGTTCAGGTCTGCATCAGGAAAGATCCTCTGAATGATTGTGGTTTTGCTCCAGTAGAAACGAAACTGCACCAGTTGCATCATTTCTGCAGGTTTTCAGAACTTCTGGCGTGGGTTGGCCAAAATGTGAGCCAAACCAAACAATCGTAAACCCGTGCATTTTTTACTTGTCCACAAAAACAAGTCTTTGTTTATCAAAGATTAAAGATGTTTTTACCCTCGGCTTGCTGTTGCCCAGCAGAGCCATGAAGGTGCACGCTCCAAACACCAGAACAAGTGGGTGACCCAGTAGTCAGAGCAGAGTGTGGGGAGGGTGTAAATACTTTTGTGCTCAACAGGAAGTCAAAAAATAAATCTATAAATCAAAGATGAGGGGCTAGGAGCTGAGAGCAGGTCACCCAGTCCTCGGTCCGACCTCCAATCAAACGGCTGCATTCCTCTGCAGCCCACTCAGAGGTTCTGACCTCAGCCCGGCCCGGACACAGAGGATAACCCTTCAGGGATCATGATCTGGATTTGACCCTGGACTCTAAAACTCCTGAAGGAAGGCCACAATGATTCTCTTCAGCACAGGGCTCCCTGAGGCTCATAATCCTGCACGTCCAGATTCTAACGGGCCTGGTCAGGTCCGGTACCAATGCAGCAGCAGACGACCTGGGCTCAGAAGAGTCCTGGTCCTCTGGTCTCAGAAGGCTAAAAACACAGGAACCCTTTGAAGCAGATCTGAACAGAGATAAGTGAATCGCTGTATTTAATGACCCAGCCACAGAGGTCAAAGGTCAAACTGTCACAAACTCCAAAACAGCATGAATCCTCCAAGAAATGTGGTTAGAACCGGATCATTTTGTGTCCCGATATGTTAAACCTCACAAGATGGTTGTTGGTTTAACCCCGCAGGTCAGTCAGGTGCCAGTTGCTCAAATTAGTCTCAGGTTTGTTCAAAGCACGGCTCTTCAGCCGAAACGTTGATAAAAAACGTGAAAAGCCTCGCGGTTTGGTTGAAGACATTTTTCTGTCATGAAGAGTTGCATCATGACAGGTGGAACAATAAAGAACCTGGAGAACGCTGAGCCATCTCGAGTCACCTCAGAATAAAAGCATGTGAGCGTTTGGAGGAACTGAATCTGATCCGTTTCCTTCTCCCCCTCCTCCCTGATCCTCCGGATACAGAAGCTGAGAGGCTCTGTGGACGTCCTCGCTCTTCATCCTCCTCCTCTGCCTCACCCTCCTGCTGCGCTGCCCTGAGGCTGTTTTCTTCCTCCTCTCCTCACTGACAGAATAAGGAAGTCCGATGGCAGAAACAATCAGTGCAGCTCCTTTTCCAACCGGTCCCAGTTGAACGTACCCGCCAAATGAAAACTCATCTTGTACTTCTACAGCTTCCTTTTATCGTGAACCACACGATGGGCCACACATCTGACCCGCTTCCTGTTGTGTTGCCTCGGCCTCCAGCTCTGCTGATGTTGGACAGAATTTATCTGACTGTTCCATCTACTGTTCTTGGAAACAAAAGCATTTTGTAACCTTTGTTTTCTGACAGGAAGCTCTGAATAAGTAAATAAAAAATGGGATTTAATGATTGTTTCCAGTTCAAACCATTGAGGCACTCTTCTTACCACCCTGTTCAACTGGACTGTTGGGGATTTATTCTCCAAGCATGTCGAAGAAGGTGCTGTGGTCAAACATAAAGCAAAAAAAAACACCACGTCTGATTCTCATCATACTGAGACCACCGTCCTTACAGTGAAGCATGGCGGTGGCAGCATCATGCTGTGAGGATGTTTTTCATCAGCAGGGACCGGGAAACTGGTCAGAGATGGACGGAGCACAATTTCAGAAGAGTTCTTGAAATGTTCCTGCAGGACAGCAGCTCTGAACGTACCGATGAAGAACACGTCACTGGTTCAGCGAGGACCAGTTAAAGCAGTGGTGTCCAAAGTGCGGCCCGAGGGCCATTTGTGGCCCTTGGAGTGATTTTGTGCGGCCCTCGACTACAATTTAAGAATGGTAAAATTTTGACCCACAGGCTTTAGAGGTTTTTGCAGATGTAAACCTTCTTTAGATTTAATGGTGATACTTTTTAAATAAAATTTTTAGGTTTAACAGCAAAAAATATGTAAACAATCTTCTTAAAATGAGCTAAATTAAGTACAATGCAAATATTTAGCTATAATTAATATCTTTATCCTACAACAAACCTTCACTGATCTACCAAAAAGTAGAATTTTGGACAATAATTCATAAAACTTAGCTAAATATAACTAGCGTTTTCAAAGAAAATAATGCGAGTTAATTATTGATATGAATTGGACATTTTTAAAAGAATATAAAATATCATCGACATACAAGTTGTTCAGCTTTATCAGTGTCCCGTCAAACATTCTATGAATCTGTTTGAGCAACCGCCGGCTGGACGGTTTTTCAGAATTTTCGATGACCCATTTGGGCCGTCCGTGGTCCAAATGGATGATGGAAGCTCCACCTCCTTTTTAAAAAAGTGGGCGGGGTTTCTTTTGCCTATGAAAAATAAACGAAAATGAACTTTCAAAGCACAAGAAATTAAAAATGAGGAGGAAATCACACTTAAAAAAAAATATTTTCTTAAATTTAAATTTTTCTGGTCCGTGATTCTGACTCCTTTCATCTAGTTCTGGCCCACCTATGAAAATGTTTGGACACCCCTTAGTTAAAGGTTCTGGACCGGTCCAGCCAAAGCCCAGACCTCAGTCCAACTGAGGACTTTGATTAAAAACTGTTGGACACAAGCAGCACTTGTGCAAGCAAACACATACTGTATGCAAGGGCCATTTTTTTATTTTAAAAATGATAAAAAATTAAAAAAAGGTTCCCCCTCCATTTGAACTTCATTAATGTGAAGAATTTTTGTTTAAATTTAAAAAAATCCCATTAAAAGTAAAATAAATGTTCCCTGCCTGTTTTAGTAGGAACGTTACTTTAAACCCCGTTTATTAAACTTTGACATTTTCCTCCATCAAGACTAAAAACTGAGAACACACACGTGACAGGAACGGAACAGAAAAAAGGAGATAGTTTATTTGTAAATGTACAAAATCTATTTACACACAAATCCAGACACGCAGAGCGGAGGACGAGGAGTTGGAAGCGTACACAGAAACTTTTACAGACGTCCAGCAAACATAAGAAAACGTGAAGACTCTGAGGAGACTGTCCGAAACAGGATTTCAGTTTCAAAGTCTGAGTCCCTTCGTGGGCTCTGCAGTTCATCCTGGACCCGGGGGAGACATGGGATCCAACGGTGGGGGGGGGGGGTACGGATGTGTTAATTAAAGCTGGATCTACACACAGAGGTACTTGGATATTCTTTTAGAGAACGTCCTTCATCACAGACAAACAAGGACTCATGATCTGATGGAGGCGTTGTTGAACACGCTAATGCTCTGTCGCTTTCAGTTCTGTGGCCCCCGGGAGTCAGAACCACGAGGAGTTAAAGTCTCTGATCCAAAGGCCAAACAAGGAGATCGCATTTTACAGTGAAGCGCCGGCGAGCATCAGTCGTGCAGAAACATGTTCAAACCAGGGCTGCCAAGGAACGTTAATTACCCAAACGCCTTCGATTCATTTTTATATCTGCACGCTTGATGTTTGCAAACAAACGCATTTCGTTGTGTTTAACGTTTGACATGATGTAAAAACTAATTATGCACTAAACAGGTTGTCAAAACTTTATTTTACTTTCGAGTTTTGTGAGCTAAAAGAGTGGAATTAAGTGCAAAACTAAATGACAGGAACCCAACAAAGTTCAGTCACGTTATCTGGACGGTTTCTTTTTTTTTTTTTTGAGACATTTCGTCCATCATCCAAAGGATTTCATCAGTCCAAGGAGCCACAACAGAGTCCCACAAACAGCACACCCACTGAGTGGACCAACAGTTTGCTGGTGATAAGATGATTTCTGGGCCCCCCCTCTCCCCCGTCGACTCCTCTGAGGCAGCCATAGCCAAAGTGGTTCAAAACATCAAAGTTCATGCGCCATCAACCAATAATAATTTGTTGTGGCTCCTCGGTCTGATGAATTCCTTTGGATGACCTGACTGAACTTTGGTGGATTTTCTACCTGGATTATTGAGCATGAACTTTGATGTAAACGACAGGAAGTTCATGTTTACTGTCGATCTGTGAATGATCAGGAACAGTGGATTTAATTAAAGCTAATTTTTTAAAATTAATTGGTATGTTGTTGGTACATTATTAATTAAAGTCGTTAAGTGGTGGATAGATTTAAAAGGATAGTTTGGACATTTCGGAGTGGGGTTCTGTGGAAATGTGATGAGAGTTTATCCTAAATAAATGTAGGCTTGTTTATTATTGAACTCATTTAGACAAAATAACTTATTTTTGTCCAGAATTAGGAGCTAACAGCTGGTCTGAATTGAGCTAAGTGAATTATTTCACACCAGAAAGCACCACCTACAACAGGTAAGATATTAACCTTTCTACTGAACTCTCTCCAAAATATCAGAGCTATTCTTTAAAACAGATTACATATAATTAGACTGTTTTTATTTCACATGAGCTATCTAAAACTAGATTAAATTTGAATCAAATTAAGATGTTAGTGAGTGAGTTTTTGGTTAAATAGATGTGCATCTATTTGCACATGCACAGTATTTTTATTTTTTGGCAAACAATTAAAACCTTTGCACAATTTGCATTTATTTTGTTGCAGTCTCACTTTCCCTAACACCCCGTTGAACTGCAGCTGAGCTTTGCAAGGTGACTTTCTACACCTCCACAACAAATCTAATTGAATAAAACTGAACGTTTTCATGTTTCTGTACCTCTGGCAGCCCCAGTTCAAACATAAAAAGCCTCTAGCATAAATTAAAGCAGTTACCATGGAGTACAATCTACAGAGCGGATATCATCTTATATCTACACAATGTGTTGATTTCCTGGTGTTTCATGATGACCTCAAGGCACAACGTGAACTGCTGCCAGTGCACCACTTTATAAAAGCCCGTTACACCCAAAAATACTGAACGGTGTTTGTTTCTAATGGGTTTTTAATAAAAAACTGGGCTATCGTTGACCCGTTGCTAAAACGTATGGCTTTTCAAAGAAATTATGAAAAAAAAAATGTAACCCTAGCTACATTTACTATGAACTTGTCCATTTCACGTTACAATCTGGAGCAAATATTACAAGTTCAGCACGTCCCTTTAGGAAGTGGAAAAGTCTGAGAGTCAGTCAGTTTTGGTTCGAACAATCAGTGCTTTAATTGAGTAGTTCATGAATTCCTGAAGAACCTGGTGGGGATGGGTGAACGATGAGATGTTGGACTGCTCTCAGCTGATCATGTTGAGAAACTTGCTTTCTTCCGCCAGAGCTGTGAGCATGGAGTTCATGTCCCCTATGGCCATGTTGCTGATCCCTGCAGGAACCGAAGCCAGGGTGACAGAGTTACGTGGGGTGGTGAGGCGTGATGAGCTCTGGGAGAGGCTCTGCAGAAGACCGGGACTTAGGGTCCCCGACATGAGGCTGGAATGGTCTCCATCATCGAGCATGGTGTCAAAGTCAATCTGGGCGTGCTCAGTGCCTCCTGATCTGCCGGTGGAGGAGTCGGCCGTGCTGCTGGAGACTTGGTTGGCTCCTGGTGAGGCCATGTTGGCTGCAGTAGGGTTTTTGCTGGCCTCGTTGGGACATGGGGACATGGAAGCATCAAAGCCCACAGCTGACGGTTCAAACATGTGGACCTGGGCTGTGTAGATTATGGCAGGGTTCAGATTCTCTGAGCTGCTGTTCCTCTTTGGGCTTGCCTCAGACGAGTCGTTGCCGTGGCTCAGATCAGACATTTTGGGGGTTCGGCTTGGTTGCATCACGCTACAATACATGTGTTGTCTGGACTTGGGCTCTGTGGGCGGCTTGGGTTGTAACATTCCTCTGGTTCCATTTTGAACACTATGCTGCTGATGTTTGGAGGGGACACTGTAATTCTGCTGCTGATCCACCTGGTTCATGTGAGCGTAACCTTCCATCTGGACCCTTGTTCTGTAGCTTTGTAGTTCTGGATTTGCCACACCATTGTGGGCAGGTTGTATGTTGGTGTTTCCAGCCTCCTGGCTGAAACCTTGCTGATGACTCAATTGTTCATTAAAGTTGCCACCGTTGTTTTGCCTCTGTTGCTGATGCTGTTGGAAGGAGATGTTCACCATCCTCTGGTTGCTGTGGTTCATGTATCCCTGCATAGACATGTTCTGACTCATCGGCACAACCTGCTGGTTGCTGCTCAGGCCCTGAGTTTGTGCCTGAAGGGACCCAAAGTTGTGTCTCTGCTGAATAACAGCCAGATTTCCCCTCACAAGAGGCTGCTGCTGCTGCTGCTTGGGGAGCTTTGTTGTTGTATCCATCGTCCCTGAGCTCACCTCATTCCATTGAACCGGCATGTTCTTCTTCATGTGGTTCGATGATGCTGAGAAAGTCTGCTGCGATCCATTGGGACCAACCTGACAAGACTGCATATCCTGACCAGAGTGAGCCATGCTGGCATCCACCATGGCCATCCTCCTCTGTCCATGGAAGGATGGGGCCATGCCTGTCTGGTACCCCTGAGTCTGATTGTTGGGATTGTAGTTGCCCAAGTTAGGACCTGACACTCCAGAGTTCTGTGACCTGAGATACTGAACCACATCGTCTGGAAGCACCATATCATCCTCCCCACTCTGTTCCCCCATAGACATCATCCCATCTACTGCCATGTTCTCCATGGCTACGTTCTCAGAAATGCTTGGCGGTCGAGGAGCAAATGGGTAACGTTGGAGGCTTCCATCAGAGCGAGTGTAACCCTGCATGGCCAGGGTTTGATAGCGCTCAGCAGAAAAAGGGGCATTCATAGGGTTCATGTTGTTCATGCTGTTGTAGCGTTGAACTCTTGGGAAAGAAAAAGGGTCTAGAGTGGGGCGACGCACTGGATCACTGGCCCGGCGTGGAAGATTTGTGGGAACTTCATGAGGCAACATGCTCTGTGAGGCATATCCAAGATCACTGCATCGCCTTGGCACAATTCCAGAGGGTGGCTGGTGGAACAGGAATGAGGAGCCTTCCTGGGATTCACTGTAAAGAGCCATCCGTGTCCTTAGGCTCATTCGATCCATGTTTGGGAGAGGAGTGGGCGGAGCTCCGCCAGTGGCAGCAGCGTACTTCGCCTTGAGACGATAATGCTGAGCCGGAGTAAGACTGAGGAGACTAGGGCCTCCTCCCCCACTAAAACCACCTCCTCCACAGTGGCTGGCCTCGCTGGAGCGGCGGGACATGTCCGTGGAGATCGGGTCGTAGGAGTCGGCTGAACTAATGTTGTTGTGGCGGTTAGCTCCAAACTGGGATGTCTCGCTGGAGCGGCGGCTGGAATAGTAGGGGGATATACCAGAAGAGCGCCGACTGCAAGCAGAACTGAGGGTGCTGGTGGTGCTGTCGCGGCGCTCATTCAGCTGGTTCAGCAGGGTTATTTCACATGAAGACAGGTCCCCCATGGGTTGGCCGGGGTGCAAACCACTCAAGTTACCCATCATGTTGGAGTTATCCAGCAGGGAACCTGGAAAACACGAAGCACATGATGAAGCTAAACTGTTATCACACTTAAATGTTTTAAAATCATAGACATGGCTCTTAAGGATTAGTGTCAACAAAGGGCTTTTTCTCTGGCTCAAAACTCTGGTGGGGTGAAGGTAATTGCTGTCTGTTGGCACTTTGTCAAAGAAGCGCTCTGACTGTCATAGAGACAGTACATGGATGTTGGTGAATCTGTTGGAGACTGCAATATAAGCAGGTACATAAGTCAAGTTCTAGGACTCGAGACAATTTAAAGTTGGACTCATTTCAGAGGCTTGGTGATAAATCCACCCATCTTCTGCGAAACAGACTGCAGGTCACTTTAGATGATCTCCTATCCCAGATGTTTTCTTTCCTCAACCTTTCCAACTTTTGATCCTCAAATGATTCATTGCAGAGACTTGTGAGACCTAATGTTTTTATTTTGAGTAGATGATTAGGGTTGGGTGATAGTTGGTATTACAATCTACATAACATTTTGTCTTTATACTGCATTTTAATTAGGTACTTTGATGGGTTCTAATGTATTTTATTTTCTTACTAACAAAGATCCCATCCAGACCTGCCACTAAGATCTCTAGATGATCCGATTGTATAACCCAGTGTTTTTATCATATTTTGCAGAGCGGGTTTAGGGATGTTGTTCTTACCAATTTCCAAGTTTCTCAAGCTAGTTTTCATGGCCACTTGCAGAAGGAACCACTAGCATGAATTTCTCTCCAGCTGTGTCTGTCTGATGCAATCTGAGCAGCATCTGCACTGCAGTGGAAGGGGCGGGACAATCAACCTTATTGGCTGACGTGAAATCAGACCAGACCAGCTATTGGTTGTTCAGTCTATCACTAAAACATATACTAAAGGTGCATTACACAGTTTTTAAAGGTGTTTAACACTATTTATATATCCATCCATCCATCCATTTTCTTTACCCGCTTATTCCATTTTGGGTCACGGGGGTCGCTGGTGCCCATGTCCAGCAATCACTGTGCGAGGGGCGGGGTACACCCTGGACGGGTCGCAAGTCCATCACAGGGACACAGAGACAAACGAGACAAACAACCATTCACTCTCTCACTCACACCTAGGGACAATTTAGAGTTACCAATCAGCCTAACATGCATGTTTTTGGACTGTGGGAGGAAACTGGAGTACCCGGAGAAAACCCACGCATGCACGGAGAGAACATGCAAACTCCACCCAGAAAGGCCCCTGGACCGGGGTTTGAACCAGGGACCTGCTCGCTGAGAGGCAGCAGCTCTACCAGTTGCGCCACCGTGCTGCCCCTAT